GCTGGCCCAGCCTCCCTTATTTCTTTAAACCATAACCCCCCCAACACTAGACAGGCGGGTATCTGTTAGGTGTAGGAGGAGGACCAGGGTACTTTACAATTTGATGTAGTTGTTAAGTGCGCAGACTCTAATCTGGGAGATCCAGGCTTGATTCTCCACTCCTCCACTTGCACCTGCTGGATGACCTTGGGCAAGCCATAGTTCTGTCACAGCTGTTCTTGAAAAAGAGCAGTTTCTGTCAGAGCTCTCTCAGCCCCACCCACCTCACAGGGTGTCTGTTGTGGGGAGGGGAAGGCCCAGCCTCCCTGATGCCTTTAAACATAATCCCCCCCAACACCAGACAGGCAGGTGCCTGTCAAGTGTAGGAGCAGGACCAGGGTACTTTAATCCATTAGGGACGCCGTCCCAGCAGGATCACCTTAGCGGTGCTGCTAGCCCAGCTTAGCCACACTCCCACCCACAATGGAAATGTCCCACAAATTTGTAGAAAACTGTTTTTCTTTATTAGGTTATTTAACTTCTCATACTGTAGGTTCTAGAAAATTGGTTCATATGAACTTGCTTAATATCTGATTGCTCAGATGGTGTTTTGAGTATGTAGTTATGCCCCACATCTTAAATGTAACATAAATGAGAGGCAATTTTGTTGAAAAAAGGAGGGGTATTTCCCCCCCCCCCAATTCACAGCCCCCCCCCCCCAATTCAATGCCCAGGCCAAACCCCTGCACCAAGAAACCCACAATAAGGGGAGTGCATTCCTACCATGACGTCAAGCCCCCCACAAAGAGATTTCTGAGAAACACGACCCCTAAGGGGGTAAAAAGGGGGAGAAATGTGTTCCCCCAATTGTTTTCCATGTGCCTGGCAAGCTGCTGCATCCTTGCCCACCCCCCCTCCAATTGGTCAACTGAGTCTGAGGTAAAACCTGCCTGCTTGCACCCACCTCTCTCTGATTGCTCAGCTGTGGATCTAAACACAGTTAGAAGAGAAATCAGCGATTCAAGACTCCTGAATAGACATTTTTGTCTCGTTTCATTTTTTACATTACAATCTTCTCTGTTAGAATTCCTACAACAAATGTTACATTTCAAACTTCACATCATCAGTATTATAACTGGATTTACAACCCATTGGTGACTTGCATACAGCCAAACTACAGCCAGCAGGCTGAGCCAATGCATACCTCATTCAACCCACTACCGTTAACACAAGTTCAGAGCCCATCCCCATGTAAACAAGAGAATCTTGGGAGCCAATCTTGGGCACAACTAAGAGCAGCAGGCCCTGCAGTCCAAGCATGCTCAGTATTCCCCCAGGGCTGCCCCCCTCTGCTCCTGTTCCCTCAAATGATCTGCAAACGGCACAGCCTGGTTTGCCAAGCCACAAAGCAGGGCAATGGCACAGAGAGTGCTATGACAAAGAAGAAGGGGCACAAAAATGTACTGAACCAAGAAAAGTCCTCTGCCTCAGAGGAAGACTGTCATAGCTAGAGGAACGAACACCCAGCTAAGCATGACTGTTTTTGATTAGAAAGTTTCTAGCCTTCATGATTACCAAAGGAGGGGGAAAAGCCTTCAATAGATGGAAGCAATAACCGGGAAAAGCTCTGAGGAGTTAATAGGATTTTCAGAAGGAAACAGCTTCTCTTTCCTCTGAGCTTCCTAGACCATCCCTCAAGATCCACTCCATGAACCCAAGGGTGCGACTACTGGCCTACGAATAAAGATTCCATATAGACCCCGCCTCCTACTTCACTGACAACCCAAACACCCCATGAAAATGAGCCATGTCACTTGCTCACTTCCACAGCCACTGCCCAAAGCCATGGTTCCCCCTAGACCTCCTCTTGGTAGCCCTGTGTGACTCTCCCCCTCTTGCCCCAATTACACAACAGAGCAGTGACAGGAAAGCACCCCGTGCTGTTCCCACTTGTGTATATTTTGGAGCCCACAACCTAACCAGTTAATTAAGTAAAGTTGTCTGATTAAAACTGATCAAATCATCACATGCTGA